TACACCAGCATGCTGGGGGCAGGGAACATAGGTCTGGTCTACTTAGAGGCAGCTGGAGTGAGGTGGACAGTGTGGGGTGGGGGTAAGAGCACAGAGTGACCACTGAGGAGGTATGGCTGTGTGCATAGCAGCTCTTAGGCACCTGCAGGCAGCTTCAGATCCCCACCTGCATGAGGTCTCTTGAACAGAAGCACAAAAGAACCTAGATGGCAGGGAGGGAAGGAGAGGGGGAGGTGGGAACCTGGCACAGGTGCCTAACAACCATCCCTGGGGCTGGCACTACTGCCTTCAGTGTACCCAAGAAGCCTGCAGCTCTGTGAGGCCAAGTAACTGTGGGGAATCCCGTCACCATTTCTGTTGAACGCATGTGTCAATCTCTGACTGTAAAAATGGATTTTACTGGAACTTGGTGGCAAAGACAATGAAATACTGTGACATCCCATCCGGTCAGGAAGGTGCAGGGTGTTTTCCAGAATACTCTCTTATAGCCTCAGAAAAGCTCTGGGAGACAGATTCTCAGATTCCTATTTCATTGCTCCTCCCTCCTTCTGAACCTGTGCTCTGGGCCAAATGGGTTTCTGGCATCTAGACAGACATAGGGACTGAAAGGCCCTCCTCCCCTCTCGGTGTGCCAGTTCCTTATTTGGGAGGATGATTTATCTCAAAATGAAACAACCAGAGAGCCTACTGGGTGCAGTGAAGCACTCTGTACTCTTAGTTCCATCTCTCTCACCTTGAGGCTTCCTGATGTTTTGCCCTACTGAAGTCCTGGCCTCTGGCCCACTCCTGCTCTGGACTGACCGACTCCCCTACCTGGGTTCAAGGAGATCTTCAGCACTCTTTTGAATTGTTCCATTCATCCTCCTGTCCTGTGTTCATAGGGTGGGTGCCCTTAGCTGCATGAGGGGTCAGTCCATCTTTAATGAGTTCTAAATATCATGAAGTGCTGAGTAAATTCTAATGACACAGTTGTTGAGAAGAATCTGAGAAACCCTGGTTGTCTCTTCCGACATCTTTATTTTGTTCCAAGAACATTAATTTTAAAAACTCTCTGGCCTATTGTCATGTTAACTTTCCCTATGAAAGAACGTAATTGGCTCAGGGTAAGTAAGGGAGTACTCTTTAAATAAAACAGATTTTTCTTAATGGGTAAAAAAAAAAAAAAAAAACCTGGATATTTTCAAATACCATTTTGGAAAAGTAAGGACAAGCGAATTATGTTGTGCACTGATCTGGTCCAGGGATAAATCTAATGTTTTGTGAGTCTTGTCTTCTGTTTTCTCTGAAATAGATTCAATAGTATTTAAGATTCAATAATTTTCTATCCCCAAGAAACTCAACTTATCAGATAGCATGCTAAATCCTTCCATATTCTGCAAAAGAAATAAGATTCTAGTCACATCAAATGAATATGAAGTATTTGACCCTTCAAGAGGAAAGTCGATGCTTATAGGATACACACATAAACAATAGGGAGGTGATCATGGTGTGAGGGGTGGGGATCAGGGTGCACAATCAGAGGCTGCGGTTCCTTTCCCAGTAGACCCTGACATCTCCCCACTGAGCCACCTATTCTCATAATTATGGCCAACCTTAAGTTCCTAACTAGTTGTAGGTCATATCATAGTGATGACATTTTTACAGAAATTTGTCCCTGAGCCCAAAACTCCATTGTCACATCATGAGCAGTGCCCAGAAACCCCCATGGAGGAAAATTCAGCAGGAAAAGGGGCAACTGGCCTTTCAATCATGACACTGCCTGGGCTCTGCTGGGAAAAGATAAAAGTCCCTAATCCTTAGCGCTGAGCTCAAGGTGACAGGCAGGCGACCAGTTGAGCAGGCCTTTCTTCTAAGATGGGACCCAGATGAGAATGAATGTGACATGGCGGTGGGGGGTAGCTGCTTCTCTTCCCCAGCTATCAGAGCCTGCCCTGCAGCATCTAACTTGGGAGAACCCCTCAAATGTCTTTGAGCTACATCATATTTTAGTCAAGGCCAATATCTAGGGAGCCTAAGAGGACACTTAGCCCTGGGACGAAACAATGCTCCAATATGCTGAAAAGGGAAACCAAAATATGAAAACATAAGAAAAGAGCTCTGGAAACTTTCTCCCTGGGTCAAGGTCACCAGCCAACTGGAGAACCCTGGTTAGAATCAAAGAATATATGAGATGAAGGAGATGGACCATTCTGCAGGTTAGAAATCATCTATGCCAATTGAAATATTTTGCTTAATAAAGACGCTGACTAGCACTAGCTGGAAAAGCAGCAAAGTGAGCCACGAGAATCTATAATCTGATTAAGACGACCTTGACATGTCTCATGTGATGACATGCCACGCATGTGTTAGCTGGCTGTTTGAAGTGTATAGGCTTCATCCCCAGCATTACACACAAAAGCAGACATTTAATTATCTCTGAGGATCCTCAAGTGGCTTGCAGGTCATAAATTTCCAGGTTATGGGATCAGTTCTGTTTGATTTTGTGCACTAGGTGGACTATAATTGTCTTTAGCCAAATGAGTTATAGCCCAAATATGTCGGTTATTCATTATTCCCTTGCCCCAGCACCACCATTAAACAATCAAACACAGCATTGTTCCACAGTGAGGCCCAAACCAATAAATTTCACATAGATTGTGCAAATTGCTTTTTTCTTACTCCTTTAACCCCTTGTGAAAAGCTGAGGCTCACCATTCCTTTCTAACAAAAATCAAAGCCTAAGATTCCTCGTCTGTTGACAGTGCCATTGCTAATATATGAAACCCGTTACAGATAAACATTTACATGCACATGGTACTGTATTTGTTATAGTAACTGCGTCATGGGGAAAAATGTGTTTAGCTAAATAAAAAGAATATATGAGATAAAATTGGAATGAAAATGACACCACAGGAAATTATTCTATATCAACCACAAAACAGGCTCTTTCAGGATTGAAGAGGAAAATTATTTATGACTGTGTTACTGTGCTCAGTGATATTATAAATCTATGAATCCTACTCTCTCTAGATCACTGAGAGGGCCAATGCAGTCATGGAACTTACAGGAAGTACCCAATCCTTTGGCTTCCAAGGACTGGCCAGGTCGATGTATCATGCATTAGCCTTTTGATTTGTGGTTCCTGGCTCACCTCTGTCACACATTCCCTGCCCTGGTATTCTTTCTCTACTCTTCTTTCCAAGTCCACCTCCCACAGGCTTTTCCCAGAAACACACCATAGTTATTATTGCACTGAGATTGCTCGTATCTGTTAAGACCAGGAGTTAACAGATACAAGGCTTCTACCATTTGGTTACCGGTCTATCAAATTAACAGGAAAGCAATAAAAAAAAAAGCTACAATTGTAGTTAATCCACTTAAGACCCCCCAAAAGCCTTTTGTACGCTTCATTTAAAAAGCTACTTAAGATTTTTTATTAAAAAGCAAGAGAAAAATGGACAAATATGATAGACAAGTTATATACCACAAAAGGCTCAATCTTCCTCATGTGCATGAAATATAAATTAAAACCAAAAGGATATACTATTTGACGCTATTCTGATAGGCAAAAATGGAAGTCCCACATTGGTCTGGAGCAACTGGGATTTGGTATGCAGCATTCGGCTAGTAGTGGATTAGCCTTGCCCCTTTGAAGAAGATTTGTCACCTGAGGATGCCCCTACTTTCCCAAGTGACAGGACCCTCAGCCCCTACCCCTGAGGTTTTGAAGCTGTTGGTCTGAGTAAGCCAAAATATCTGGAATTTAAAAATCTCTGCAGAATATTCTAACGCGCATCCAAGGTTGGTAATCACAGCTCAAGAGCCTCATCACTCAAATGAGTACCAAGGGTCAGCAGCATCAACTAGGAACTTGTTAGCAACAGACTTGTGGCCCCCCCATCTTACTGAATGAGAATCACATCCTCAGCCCCAACTGTTTTTATTTCTTAGGAAAAATTACCATTAGAAACTGAACAGATTATATCAAGGGAGCAAGGTCCCACAGGCTGCAGGAACCTGCTTTAGCATCTTTGACGCCCTGGAAGCAAACGTGGCAAGGAGTCAAGCAGAAGCATGACTCTGCACTCCAGTCACCTCTTGTGAATATCCTGGGTGGCACAGGCTGGGTGCACCATGTGTTTTGAGTTTTTAGTGAACTACCCACCTGCCTGGGGTTTCTTTCACTCTGGGGTACAGAACAGGGGAGCAACCAGGCTCCGTTTCCTCCCTGCCATTCCTCAGTCTCAGAGGCAAAGTGGTAGAGGCTGGGACTGAGTGACACAGGGAAGGGCTGAAGCCCAGGAGCTCCCCTGAAACATCTGGGCCATAGCCAATGCAAGGAAACATCAAAGGACCCACAGGGATCCCGTTTCTCTACCAAGTGGTCTATGTGAGACTTGGCACAGAGCCACAGCCAACAGAGGCTCCTCACCCGTCAGCTCCAGGAGCAGGCAGCAGGCTCAGAACCAAAGGGGAAAATCAGTTCCTTTGATGTCCTAAATCCTGTTTGGTGGGGAAAGGGAAAAAACTGATCTGCCTAGGCTAACATTATATATTGTAAGCATCCTAATGACCATCAAATCACTTGCTACCCTGGTTTTCACCTTTGACATGCAGGTGGGCTGCGGCAAACCCCTGAGGGAACAAGCTTCTAACCCAGTAGGAAAGTGGTCCCGGGTCCCTCTGGCAAAGAAGGCACTCACCCCAACACATGAGAGACATTTAAAGACCTTGCAGACCTTCCTGGACAAAGTGTGACTTGTGGGAGGCCTGGCCACAAACAGCAAATAAACTGGTCAGATGCAGCACAGCCCCCTCCTCTATACAGGCCAACACTGGTAGTCAACTTGAAACCTTTCAGTGGGTTTTTTTGTTGTTGTTGAGGGCTACAGGTGGGCACTGAGACAGCTACTGAGGATTCATGGAAGCTGCCTCTGAATCTCTGCCCTTCAGGGTTATACAGCATATAAAGGAAGATCCTTCCAGGGTTGAGACCCTCACCCCTCCTCAAATGCACTCACGAGATTTGCGGTTGGCCCGAGATCGCTTCCTCTCCCTTGGCACCACTCGCTGACTGGGCACTTGGGTGGCCGACTTGACAATGCGGTCCATGATCTCATCTGCAGCATCGTCTGTGATGGTAGGTGAGTCATCAGTTCCCATAGCCCATGAATTAGTGGATCCTGAAAAATTAACCAGAGTGCAATATATTCAAAGAGAAAGAAAGCACAAAAGACAAATCATTGCTTCTTTGAGTGGCTGACATCTATCAACGATGGATCTCAGCAAAGCCAGAGTCAGAGCCTCAGAGTGACATATTCAGGGTGCTTAGCTGGACCCACTTGCGACTTATACCCTCCAGGCTCTGCCCAAACTTGTGCTAGGGCATTTATTTCGTATTCTTTTCATACCCGTAACAACTGTGTGTCTTTCATTGTTATGTATCTCTACCCCTGCCAAGCCCTGTGATGGCCTAAGGGCAGATGATCCATGCTGTACCCAATTGTGTACATCACTGATATCCAGCAATGTACAGAGAGGCCCACCAAGAGATTTGCTAAGTTACCTTTCTATGAGTGGTTGTATACCTAGTAAATGTGAACTAACCCTACCTTCTCATATATTAAGTAGAAAACAATGAATTTTGTAATCCACAGTTTGTCTTTTAATTACTTAGCTTCTCAAAATTGTAATAGGATTGCCCTCTTCAATCAGTAATGTGGATAGTGATTTAATCTTTTCCTCTGAAGAATAAAAAAATCACCTGCTCCTTGACCAGAAAGATGTATTTATGAGTAACTGTATATTCAAACAGGCCAAGTCTAGGGTCAAGTTATCTGCCTAGGCAAGCAAAAAGCACCACCTAAACATGGGTTCCCAAGTAATGGCAAATAATTGGAAATCAACGCGAATTTATATGTCCAGAACTTTGCCTTTGTGATAATTTCCTTATGAAATCTCTTCTATGATGGTGAATGTTTCTATAGGAGGAAAAATATACAACATGTTCAAAATCATTTATTTCTACTATCCACACTTTATTTTGTAATAAAATAATTTACAATGTACAATTTCAAAAGACTGTAGTTAGAGTTCTCAAACTCATTGCCTATGGAACATAGGTAATCCCAGGCTGAAGCCAAAGAACAGTCAGCCTTTTCCACACTTTAGTTTGTCTTCCCTACTGATATCTTAAAAACTTTTGGGGCTTGGAACCACCTGATTGGAAATGAAGAAAACATAGAAATTGATGGATCGAATGAAAACAGTGGAGCAGTTCAGTGCATTATGATTTTCATGGACACGTGTGTTTGAAATTTTACTGCAAATATGAAATATGATATAATGTACTCATAACTTCTGCCAGTAAAATTCATGTGACTGAACATGTAAATTCACACTTCGTAACATCAGTGCCAGAACTCCAGGTGTTCCATCACCTGCATGGGTGAGCCCTGCAGCTACAGGACAATGATGTTTTCAAATGATGAGGTTTTTTCTTCTTCTTTTTTGATACTATTGATCAAGTTCTTGAAGTTTATTTTGCTTAGCTTTTTATTGGGAGTGCATCCACAGCCCTGGAACATGCAGAATGAGCAGGGAATGAGCAGGGAAACTTTAGTTTCCCTGCTCATTCCTAAGGGAACGTGGTCTATTTGCTCCTATCAGAATGCAATTTTTTTTCAGCATTATATAATGTTTTTAAAAAACAGACTCTTCCCAGAAGTGAATTTTTGAAATTGCTGCCAAGTTTTTTCACATTCTCAGGATGATTTGAGTGTTGTAACTGCAGGTGGCAGGACTCAAGATGGCACAGCTTTCAGACCAGGACTGTAGAGCCTCTGTGACAATGGCCCTCCTTAGAGGAGAGCAATCAAATAGCCCAACTGTTTTGCCTAGCAATTTCCTATTTTCCCTTTTGCCTATTGATTTATAATTCTGAGTCTTATCTTGAAATGCCAAACTACTCTTCCAAAAATACACACAAAGCTCAATCAATTATGTTTATTACCCATAAGACATTTTCAGAGCACTAGGCCAGAAATGAAGGCACCGTCTAATTTTCCCTCTGAGAATTACCAATGTTTCCCATCTCCATTTTACACATCCCCAGGGATCTGTTTCCAATGCAATTGTCAGAGAGGATCAAAAGGAACATCTTGCCATGGGTCCAGAATTGTCAAACCTCAGTTTTGTGATGACTTCATTTCCTCCTGCGACCTCATTCCTGTTTCTACTTTTAATCTCCCCTCTGCTTGGTTACTGTCCTCACTGCCCGATCACCATTTATTCTCATTCTTCCTGGCCATGGATGTTTTTCTCTTGGTAGACACTTGGTACCCACAGGTAGCCATCGGGGGAATACTGCCCACACTTCTTCCTATACCCTGGGATCCAATGTGTCTCATCTCAGTTGCCCAAGTGTTGGCAAGTCATTTATGGATAATGAGATGTCATGGAGGGGATAGAACATTCTAGACTATAATAACAATACCATTTCACTTTGGCTTCATTTTTAAAGATATTGTAATTCATTTTTTTCCTTTTAGAAATCTAAACAGTATATAAGGAAGAAATTATATCAAGTAGATATTAGTATTATTTTAATATAAAAAATGTTTGCCTTCATCACTGAAAGACAATTTCCCTGGAGATAGACTGGCAGTTTAAAAATGACTTTTTTCTGGCTTTGTTTCTTTTGAAGAGTGAGCCATACTTCCTGATCTTGGCCCTTGGAAGGGAATGCATCTTTCCTGTGTTATAAAGATTTTATCTTTCTTTGTTTTTTGGCAGTTTGCCTATGACATGGCTCTATTTATTCTGCTTGGACTTGCTAAGTTTCTTAAATATTTGAGTTAACACCTATCATCAATTGGAGGAGTTCTCAGCTATTATTATATATATATATTTTAGTTGCAGTTGGACACAATACTTTTTTTATTATTATTTATTTTTATGGGGTGCTGAGGATAGAACCCAGGGCCTTGTACATGCTGGTCGAGTGCTCTACTGCTGAGCCATAATCCCAGCCCTCAATTATTAACATTTCTTCTTATCCCTCATCTCCTTCTGGTACTCCAGTGACACATTAGATCATTTAAGTGTGTCCCAGACATCTCACACTTTGTTCTTCTTTCTTACCATGCTTCAATTTGTACACTTTCTATTATCCTTCTCTTCTTGCTGGAAATTGCTATTGAACCTATCCACTAGGTCCTTATTTCAGATATTTTATAGTTTCAGCGATTGAGATCAGTGTTACTTTGTTCTCCAGAGTCTCCTCCTTTTTTTCTGTTAATAGATGTGACAAGGTCCTGAGCTAGCTTGAGGCTAAATGGCAGTTTTAGCTAAGAAATTAGTCCACCTCCCTCTCGAGGTATCTTGAGGATGACAGCTGTGTGCTTGCTCTGCCATGTGTGTTATCCCCAGTGGTTGGAAATGGCAGGTCGCTGGCAGCCTTTCTGGCCCAGGGCCCCTACCCACTCCCTGCCCGCTCAGTGATACACTTAGCCAATGTCTTATGGAGTAAATCCCCTGTACTCGGTGCTCCTCAATTCTAATCTCTATGCCAGCTCCACCTGGCTAGGATGAGTTCTACTGTTTTATCTTTGCTGTTAGAGTCATTCCACCCATGGTGAGCCTGGTCCTTAGCCTGTGCCCAAATTCAGCAAATGCTCCCAGAGGAGCAATCTCAGCTTGTCCAAAATTCTGCTTTCTCAAGTCTTCTTTCCTCAGAAGTTCCACAGTGTCTTTTAAAAGAGGGCTTTCTAACTTGTCATATATTTTTTTTAATTATAGTCATGGTAGCAGGAGTGACGGCTTGCCACTCCTTACTGCATGCTGCCTGGAAGCAGAAGTCTCTTTAGAGAGGAGTAAATGTGAAGACAAACTAAACAGGCTCCCTCTCTAAGCCCTTTCACCCATCAGCGAAAATGAACCCATACTGAAGAAATCCGGCACTAGTTTTTCTTCTTGGTTTCTTCTGGATGGGAAGAGACATCAACAGCCTATTTATGTCCTGTTACCCGACTCCTCCTCCCAGGATGGACTCCATTGCACCATTCTGGCATCCACCAAGGTACAGAGGCTCAAGGCTCTGGCCTGATGGCTGGGGTCACATGGTGCCTACACTAATGACCTCCTGCACCTTCCTGCTGGCCCCACTGAGCCCAGGGCACTAAGCCTGTGAGAGCTGCCAGGCAGAGACTCACCCAGGATGTGTGAGGCCTTTGGGAACCACAGGGAACAAGTGAATCCCCTCACCTCAACAACACTGCAAAGGCTATTTTTATTTTGTGCTTCTTCCAGATTGACAGTTTCCACTGCTCAGCATTTAATGATAGTATTTTCTTCACTTTCTGACTTGCCCTACTTTTTCTTCTTTCTTTCTACATGGGCACTCTCTGTCCTGTCTTGGAATGGAGGCCTTGTCTCAAACCAGACATCAGGATGCATGATGTCATGCCCAAGGCTGTGTTCTCCTGAGCTGCATCTTTCTGAAGTTGGTCACTAAAGTCTGCATTTTCATTGCCAAAATATGTTAATTTATTTTCTTCTCCTAATTCCACATCTTAAAACTACTCAGTAGTCAAAGAATTTGGACAGATCAAATTCCGAGGACCCCAATCTTTGATTGTTTGATGTAATATATATGCCAACATTGAGGGTACAGCTTAGGAATCAAGGTTGTAGTAAGAGATGCGACTTTTCTACTGTCATCTGTGTCTCGGTGCAACACTGAGGCAAAGATGGATGGAGGCTACCTTCCTTCTAGCATATTCTTAGCTAAACATGAAAGTAAAGGTCCTATTACAGAGTAAAGACCAAAGTCCCACATGAAGGAAGAAAGGGGAATTAGAATCTACTGTACTCACATGAAGTAAAGAAACCAACCAGTAACTTTGTTAAAAATCCTGAAGTACAAATCCATAAAACTCTGAAGGTTCTAGAACACAACCTGTGCACATCTTTCAAGATTCTCTCTGGAGGATTTGTGGCTCTCTGGTTCACAGGAAACCTCAAAACGCTGTATGAATTATGTGATGGGAACACACCTTCTCTGAGAAAACTAGCAGCAGCATTTACGTTTTCCTTTCCTGTTGAAGTTATTGCTGCTATAATTACTTTTACATTTTTAAGAGTTGACAACAGCAAGACTCTAGAAAGCATGATCAGTGAGTAAACCAACTGGAAGTCACTGGTGAACCTTCTAGGGGGCTCTTCGAGCATGGCCCTCTGGATTCTAGCTGCTTCCTGTACTCCTGGAGGCTTATCAGAGTCTTAGAAGATGTTTGGTAGGCTCTGCATACATGACCAAGTTTCTGTAATAAGCTAGCCCTCAGCCCAGCTTACCTGGCATATTCAGTTGTATTTATTGTACCAGCATAATTATTACCAGCATCCTCTTTTAAACTCCAAAGCATTCTCTTCAGACAAAACTCTATGGTTTCTTCTAGCAGTTAATTCTCTTTAAAGCTTATCCTCTTTAGGAAGCCTAAACGGGGACCTCAGGAGTACATTGAAGAGATGGGGTTTGGACAGGGCCTGCAAATAGTGTCTGAAGGTGAACAGAAACTAGAGTAGCCAGAGTGAAGGGCATTCCAAGCCGAGGGAATGGCATGAACAACAGGGGCACTCAGAGATACGTAGGGTATTTAGAGAAGGGCGGAGCCAACAACATGGAAATGAATGAAAGCCAAATTTGGAAAATAGGCCCAGATTACAGGGGCCTCATAGGTCAGTGTGTGTGGTATGGATTTTAACCTATAGCAGGGAATTTAGGAGAGCTAACATGGTATCAGATTAATCCAGAGAAGCATGAATGCTTTTTTTTTTTTTTGGTACCAGGGATTGAACTCAAGGGCACTCGACCACTGAGTGACATCCCCAGCCCTATTGGGTATTTTAGTTAGAGATAGGGTCTCACTGAGTTGTGCTTAGTGCCTCGCCATTGCTTTGGCTGGCTTTGAACTTGTGATCGTCCTGCCCTAGGATTATAGGCAAGTGCCACTGCACACAGATCCTTAAATCTCAAAATTAAAAAAAAATCTCAGTTATAATTCAAATCTGGAAATGCCAAAGTCTTTATCATCTTGAACTTTTAGTTTTGTCTGTTTTATTAAGGATGTAAAAAAAAAAAAAAAAGGCACAAAGAGTAGTGTTTTACACCAGGGTTGGGAAGCTTTTTCTGTAGTCACTCTTTTGGGCTGCAGAGCCTAGAGTCTGTCACAATGCTTAACTCTGCTGTTATGGTGCAAAGCACCCACAGACCATACACAAAACGTGGCTGTGTTCCAATAAAACTTTATTTACAAAAATAGGAGGCAGACCAAATTTGGCTCTCAGGATGCAGACTGCTGAGCTCAGCTTTAGCTCATGAAGATTCACTCATAATAACTTCTGTGTTCATAAATGTGTCTCTTGGGGAGTGTTGTTTGGTTTTGAGACACAGCCATTGGAGGTGAGCAATAAAGGAAGGTGTGTGCTTAAGTTGGTCCCAACAATTCAGGAAGGTTGATGGCCCTTTGTGGCCATACACTGGGCACAGTGATCTGTATCCTGTAATGGAGACTTCATTTCCCAAAATGGCCAACCCAACACGACATGCCCCACCCACTAGGGCTTACCTCGGCTTGCCCGGCTGCGTGTGCGGATGCCCAGCACAGGGGTGGCATCCTCCATGGCAGGAGAGGTGGTTTTCAGCACAGCCTTCATGTTCTCATGTTCAGCTGCATCCTCGGCATAGCTCAGACCCTGCGGCTGGCTGGGTGGTACTGGGCAACTGCCAGAGAGCTTGCCAGTCTGCAAAAACCAAAGGGGTGTTAGTACATGAGAAAGACTCCCCAGAAAGCCAACTCAAGCTTAGAAAATGTTTTACTGAGGAAAACTACCTTTTCTGTTTTTGTATGCATTCTGTAGACCCATAAGTTCCGGCAGTCACTGAGGTTATCGACTAATGACAAAACATCTGTCACTGAGGTTGTCGGCTAATGACAAAACAACTGGGCCACTTAACTCCAGGGATACTTTAGCCTCACTGCCCTCCCGGCCTGGGAATCCTGCCACATGGGCAGAGGTGGCACTAAGCAGAGGGAGCGTGGTCACAAAGACTGGGAACTCTGCTCTGCCAGCAAATGGGACCATAGTTTCCCTCAATTGATATCTGTCTACAAAAGAATAATTATCAGAAAAAGAAGCCACAGGCCCCAGAAGGAAGTCCACCCACCCATCTTCCACTGGAGTGGCGCTCTCTGGGCTCAGACTCCCCAGCAGTCGTCCACTAGGAGTGACCGAGCAACTGGGAAGAGCTACGGAAAACAAACTGAAGCCTTGATGTGAGAACTGAAACGTACCTTCTTAATCAAATGCACTCAGCTTTATTTTTAAACTTTAAAACTAGAATACAGGGAAATTTTTCATAAATATTGGTTATTATGAGAGAATTGCAAAAGTGGGATTCGATCCTGGCATGTTAAGAGTTGGGGAAGGTTCTTCCAAATCTAGATCACTTCACTGAAAAGGAAAATGAGGCTCTTCAGGAAAACATGGCCTGCAAAGGCCCCATGTGGGTTAGTGTCAGGGTATAGTAGAGAACATGACAAGTAAATTCAAGCTGAAACAATTTGGCAACACTCACTACTTTTGATTATGAAAAAATTTAGTTCTATCAGTACTGGGGATTGAACCCAGGGGTGCTTTATCACTGAGCTATATCCCGAGTCCTTTTTTTTTGAGATAGGACCCTGCTACATTGCTGAGGTTGGCCTCAAACTTGCCATTCTCCTGCCTCAGCTCTCCGGGTCACTGGGATCACAAGCATACACCACCACACCTGGCAAGAATTTAATTATTTTAATAAGCAATTCAAACTTACAATGATTTCCTCTAAGTTTACCTGAACAAAAAGGCAGGTCATATATATTTTAAAGAGGCAATGCTAGAATACTGTGTATATACAAGGCCAAACATCTGGTGAAGAACAAAAAGTCAGATTAACATCTGCAAAGACAAGCTTCACAGTTTCCTGGCTTCCTCTTTTCATCCAGTGTCTCAGCCACAGCCAGGAGTCTGGGACACATCTGGGGCTTTGTACCATCTACACTGCTCCCTCCTCATTTTCCAGGGTCAAGGAGGCCCAGTTTGGTCTCTGAAGCTGAACCCAGTTTCAGGGGAAGCAGCCCCTGCTTCTGTAGACACATCAACGCCACAGGAGCCAGTCAAGGAAATGGGAAAACAGCGGAGGCTGCCCAAGAGCTGGGGATATAGAGGCCCTGGTGTGGCATGTAGCCACTGCCTCACTTCCTCTTAAGATTCTTTATGTAGTTATTCTAGAGACTGGTTCTCATACTTGAGTTGCCAAAAAACTTGCAAAGGTGGCTGAAGGTAAAATTCTTGGTTCAGTTTTCTAGCAGTAGGGAGAGATCCCCTGAACCCACCATTAGTGACAAGGCTACCGATTAGCCTGGACTCTGGGGCAGATGGAAGATGGAGTCAACCCCCTCACTTCCTAGTACACAGCATGACAAGAATTCATCAGGTGGTTAGTGGTCAAATGAAAAACCAACCAGAAAATGCCCATGCATGGTTTAAAGCACGAAATGGTGCTGACATCTCATGCTGATTATGTTAGGTTAGACTTTACGGCACACATGAAAGGTCAAATGTGGTATTCTTCACGTTTATAAATGGTCATACCTCAACTTCATCCTCGTCATCAGTCTACCCGACAGGACAGGACAGGACAGAAAAGACAGAAGGATTCTTAGATGGCACAGAAGTCAAAGATGAGATTATCTTAAAGTCATATCACATTAAAAAAACAAAAACAAAAAAAAAACAAAACTGGCCACCATAACCAGGGTACACCCTCTTGAACTGGGAGCTGGTAGGCCCTGCTCTCCTTGTCCTCATCTGGATACTTGTTCAGTAAAGACAAGCCATTCCCAGACAGTCTCCTGACCTTACTTTCTGCTCTGTGCCCTGCCACGTCATGGCCACATTTCTCCCCACCCCCAGTACTGGGGACTGAACACAGGGATGCTTTACCACGGAGAAATATATCCCCTATCCTTTTGTATTTTTGAGAGAGGGTCCTGGCTAAATTGCTCAGACTGGCCTTGAACTGGTGACCTTCCTGCTCAGCCTCCTGAGTCACTGGGATTAAAGGCATGTACCACACCTGACCTTGGTGGTCATATTCTACTGAGGCATCACCACCAGCTGGTCATCAGGGTGTCAGTAAGTGGACAGACCTTAATTTACCTGGCTCTTCCTATCAGCAGCTGCCCACCTCTCATCTGAAGTGTAGAAACCTTCCTGCCCAGGCCACAGGGCCTGGGAACAATGATTCTTCCATGCATAGGTCAGAAAGGAAAAGCTGAACAATTTCTGGGCAGAATGTGTCATATTATCCTCTCCTCAGACACATGAAGTTTAAGCTCTGTATACAGCCTCACCTGTCCCTCATGGTGGCCATTCTTAATTGACCCTGTACTTTCAATTAATATACCAGTAGATAAACTTGACTTCAAGGGAAGGATCACTTTTCTAGGTATAAATTGGGGGTAAAAAATCCTGTTAAGTCTCTTGACTTTTATTTAAAATAAGCACAACTTCAATTTTTGAGAGCTTCCACCAAGGTTACAGTCCATGCCAGCCAATCAGACACAAGTTTCATGGGAACTGTCTGCACTTTTGAAAGTCAAGATGAAAAGACACTTCCAGTGTATCACATCCTGCCCTGTCCCACCAAAGAGCATTATGACAAGAGACACCGGTCCTGCTCCCCTGTCTTTTTCGTCTTATGATGTATTTAACCAGGACGACTGGCATCGTTTTCAGCAACCAGCACATGTGCAGAGTGCTGCACATACAGAATCCCTCACACAAACCCTCACTCCACTTCAATTCAAGAAACAACTGGGGTTGAGAGAAGCTAAGGGGAGTTCTGGGATTTCCCAGCCTGGGTTCTCACCACTCGTTTGGATTATTCCAGCAGTAAAAAGGGCCATAGCTGCCTAGTTTTCCCTTGCCTATGCCACCATTGGTCTAGAACCAGCTTGGGACAGAAAGATAAGGAGTAAGTTTCTCACTAAGCCTGGCCTGGGGGGGGCCTCTGGATCCTGAAAAAAGACCTGTTGCATGCCTAGGAGCAGAGAGGGCACAGGAGGGACAGCACTCCAGAGCCGACACGGGGCCCAGTCGATGAAAGCAGTTTTCAGACTTCACCCTCAGACTTATCTTGATTTAACTGCAATCATTTCCACCCTCAATTTTATTCAGCATCTGTTAAAAGTGATGAACTACTTTCTCTAAAACCCCTTCTACTAGCTCCGATGTTTGGGGGCCCTTGATTCTGAATCCATTGCCTGGCCTCTGTCTCAGTGGTTTCAGTTGTGTGTCATTTTCTAATCATACTGTGATGTCCTTGGGTGTGATCTTGTCTTTCATTATGCATGCACATCTTCCTTGGTGCCCACCGCAGTGCTGGGCACTTCTTTAACAAGCACAGGGAAAACTAGAGATTTTAGTTTTGCCTTGGTGACAATACCCAAGTATTCCAGCAGATGGCAGCCTTCCCACATGAATGATGCTACTTGGACCTATAAAAACAAGGATTAGGATGGGAATGAGCACTGAAGCCCTTCCTGCTGCTGTTATAATTCAAACAAATAAGCTGTGAGAGGGTCAGGGGATGTAGCTTGGTGGTATAGTGCTTGCCCAGCATGTGGGAGGCCCTGGGTCCAATCCCCAGAACCGCCAAAATCCACCAAACAAAAGCCCAAATAAAATGTGAGAATCCAGGCTGGTAAATCCTAGGACTTCATGGTGGAGGACAGAGGACTCAAGGTGCACTCCTTAGCCTCTTTCAGCATGACTTCCTCTTCTACAGAGGGGGATGATAGTTTCCTATAAAAGGGGAACAATGATTGTCTCTAGATTTTAATGGTAATTTAAATATGTTTAGAACAAACTCTAGAAACAATTACCTCTGTTTATAGCTGAGAAAAGCCAAATATTCTCAGAGCACAGAATTTTAACAATTAGTGGGATCTGTTAAAAAACCTCAAGAATTTGGCAAGAAATGCTGATGTGTTTTCATAATTATAAGCACTCTGGGCTGTGTCTTTTGCCCTTCGATGTGTCTCATTTCCAGAAAAATAAGTTATCCCTTTTTAAAAGTTTTAAAAATAATACTTAGGAATGAAATGTGGGCTGTATTTTGCCCAAGTGCATTCAGTTTGCTTCCTGAATCCTCCAGAAGGCTAAAGATTCTGCTGAACCCAGGTTTCAGAAGACAAATGACAGAACTCTTAGTCCTGGCATTTAGAACCGCCAGGGGCTATAGAAAGGAATCCTTCTGCAAAAAATAATTAAAAAAAAAAATGGCTTGGTGCTCCAAGGAAACAAGGAGCTTAGGTGGAGGAAGGGGGGGGTTAAAGGGATTGATTAATCCACAGTTCTACTTAGAACTGTCTTAAAACTACAGTAAAATTTCTTGGTTATGGAATCTGGATTTCCATGTGAAGTCAAGACCTCTCAGGAATGTGGACTCTCAGACAGCAGTAACCATGTTCCCTTTGTTTTGCCTACGACATGAGCATGCCTCTGGGCAGAGAAGGCAGGCTCCCTGAAGTCTTCTGAATAAACTCCCCACCCCCAAAGAAATCTGCCCACCTTGGATTCAGGTGAGATTTCCACCTCCCCTCCCCTGGTAATGGCACTCCCTGCGACTTATTCTTGTACTCATTCCGTTCCCTGTTATCACTGGAGACCTTGTGTGGCTCAAACACAAGCACAGGTGGGAAAAGTTCGTGGGTACCAACCAAATAATCAAAGCAAAACAAAATAATCCACCAAATACACCTTCAACAGGTCCCAAGTATGATCTGTCAGTGTTAAAAGAAAACTGACTTTATTCTTCCTGAGTCTGTTCAAGAAAAAATAAATGGTGAGGAAAGGAGAATTCCCACAGAATTTTTTCCTTTCCCCTGAAACTGGACTTACAGCTTACCAAATAATAGATGAGGTGTGCATGTTTCACGAAGAGACATCAGAAAGAAGGACCTGCTCTGGGTATCTTTGTTGTCTCTGGCTTCTTAGTGGATCCCTTCAACCTGTGTCTATGAAGCATGTCCCATCTACATGCTCCACAGTACCCAAGGCCTGGATAGGCTCAGGGCTAAAGTGGTAAAGAGTTCAGAAATGGGGAGACATGTAAATGTCCAGGGGCACCCCACAGCACTGTAGGGAAACTTATGCTGGATCCACTGTCCTCTGGTATCTTTTCACCCTGATATTCTGAAACAAGGGACTGAAGAGGACCCGTCACATTACGTCTTAGAGCAACCACATCAGTTTCTCTATTCATATGCCCCAAATGGGTAGTCTAGGTGTCAACGGACTGGTTATATAACATTGTAACAATGACTAAAATCCTGAATCAATTCCAAATCAACACATCTGTCTTCCTCTAGATAAGTGGTATTACCTCTGATGTTTTTCTCCTCCAATCTTATCAAGCCTCTAAATGTCACCAGCATCACACAACACACAAAGACAGGTTATGCATTTCTCCTCCAGCCTCACAACCTCAATAGGCCTCATTTGTTACACAGCAGATTCCCACAGAAATGGTAGAGCAGTAGTTGGAGAGCATTTATAAGAGGCGGCAATATTTCGCGGCCCCCCACCCCTTCCACACCCCATAATGGCAATGGGGGAAGCGCAACTCCCAAACCCTGGGGAGGATTGATGGTTGATCTTTCAAAATGAGTGACCTAAAGAGAATTCATGAAACTTACATCAGTGATCATCTTCCCTCTGGTCTTATTTCTCTCTCTGTGGTTGGCCCGTTTCTGTTTCTGCTGCAAAACCCTCTCCCTGGTGGTGCGATACTCTAGTGCAAATTCACTAATGATCCTGCAGAACTTGTTTATGTTCACTTCCCGAATTGCATAAGGTGGATGGCCCATAAAGAGCAAAAAGGAGTGGAATCTGTAAGGAAAAACAGAAATGGTAACTTTAGTTTTAAGAAACCCAAATTACTGATCCAAAATCTTTCCATAAGAAACCAATGAGCCAAGTTCTCAGTGAGAGGCCACCATCCTTCACTGCTGGGGCTCTGACTTTCAAAAGTCTTCAAGTAAAAATGCAAACAAAGTCAAGTTCAATTCACTTTCTCATCCATGGAAGTTATGACTAGGTGGTAAGATTTCAAGGAATTAATTACTTCTTGCATATCTAAATTTCAACATTTTCTAATGGATATGTAAAACTGATAAAGTATTAAGGAAAATAGTGCATAGTTTCTACATTATACAAGAATTGGATAAGAATAAAGAAATGTTGCTTAGAAATTCCTTTATAAAAAGGCAAAGGGGGGAAAAAAATTCCTTTAATGAACACTTGGAGTAGACATGAACATGTTAATTTATAGTTTCTAATTGGTGTTTATAAAGTTTTCCCTGAGTAAATATTTTGAAATATTTTCTTACAATATTACATAGAACTGTAATTTAGCTAGGAAACACCAAATAAACAGAACAAAATTAATTTATTTCAGCTATTTAATTTATAAACTAAAAATTAATTTTGTTTAAAATTTGTAAAGTTTCAGTTATCAGGAAATGAGAACAAAGATAAAAACAAATCTATGTGAAACAAATGGTATTACATAAATATCACTATTTGTAGACAAAACTTTTGCTTTTGAACACTGCAATTTGCCTCCCTTAAATGTTTTCCCCTAATGAGAGACATTAATTTATTCTTTCCTGTGACAAACACAACTTGTATTTAAAATCAAGGAGACTCAAAAAACACTAGCATAAAACTCAACAATAACAAAGTATAAATCTTTTTTACCTTGGAGTAGACAATTTTTTCAGAAAGATTATAACAAAAGCATAAACAACTAACGACGAAATAAACTGAAACATCAAAATTAAAAACTTTTTTGCTTCAAAGGTTATCATTGAGAGTGAAGAGAACCTTCAGAACATGAGCAAATATTTGCAAATCATAAGTGGGAAAAGGAAGTTGTGAGCAGAATAAACAAAGCTTACAACTCAATGCCAAAAAGAAACAAAGGATTTGAATAGACATTTCTCCTAAAATGACATGCAAATAGCCAAGAAGCACATAAAAAGATGTTCATTATTAACCAATAGAGGAATGCAAATTAAAACCACAAGGAAGTACTACTTCACACTCTAAGATGGCTGTAATCAAAAAGACAAGCAGCAGCACTGGAAGTGTGAGAAAACTGGAATCCTCTTACAGTACTGGTGGGGACATACAAAGATAGAGCTGCCATAGAAGACAGTCCAGCAATTTCTCAGGTAAACATAGACCTACCATAAGACCTGTGCATATACCCATAAGAAATGAAAATGTGTACACATAAGACCTTCCACGCCAAAGTTCATAGCAACGCTATTCCTAATAGCTAGAAAGTGGGAAAAGACTATAATGATGCTCATCAACAGATGAGAAACAAAATGGAAATCCACACGAGGCCCTGCCTGACTGGCCCCCTTACCTCTCTGGCTTCTTCTCTCATGACTCCAGCCACACTGGACCCTTGCTTATTCCTTGAACAAGCTCATCCCAGGGCCTTGGGCCCCTGCGCAGCATGTGGGACACTTGGAGGGACACACAGGCTGAGGAGCTAACAGTCTGCAGGAAGGCTGAGGAGGCCACTCCACTGGGGAGGCCCATAGGCCTGACAAGCAATCTAGTACCAGCTGTTTGCTGTCTAGAGCAGAGAGCCACATGAATCACGCTCACAGCTGGGTGACTACTTCATCTCCTGGGGAATACTGGGGGAAAAGTGAAGCAAAGCAACTGGGGTCTCAGTCATCCATCTCTAGAAATTCCCACCTTCATCAGTTCTATATGCAGGGGCTCTTGATGAAGTCGTCATTTGAACCCAGGGTTCTGTGGTTTAGGTGTTTTGAACTTGTTACCACCTGGTACCCCTTTTAGCCACACTCCTTTTACTACCCACCACAACTCTAGTGAATTTCTGGCCCATCCTGCTCACTCCCAGTGGGATGGCAGACAGCCAGAAGACAGGAATCTGAGTCAGGCGGGAGCAACCACCATCCAAGCGACCAGCTTAGATGGAACAATTAAAGCAAATATCTCATAAGGAATATACTTGTTACTAAAATGAGTGCTTATCTGAGATAAAGTGGTTAATAAAACTAGGCATAATAGCTTTATAAGACTTTTATAAAATTGTTCCAGTTTCATGATATTCCAAATGGAAATAATTTATTTTCATAGTTTTTTTTTCTTTAAGCTGGCAATTGCTTGCAACATACAAAGCATGAAGGTCAAACCAGCTCTCATTCCCCATCTCCCCTTTTTAAACATGATAAAAGCATAGTGTATTTTAATTTTAGTAAGAAATTTGACAAAATCTTTCATAAGATCCCCCAATCCAGAGAGCAACTGGAAAGTCTGGATGAAGTACAGTTAAGGGGGTTTATGGTTGAACAAATAAATTCCAAAAGTACTGATTACTAGATGGTTTTCAACCTGGAGGGAAGTTTCTTTCCTGTTCAGCATTTTTAAAACTATCCCCCTTTTCTCAACCGTCTGCCTCAAGACCCAGGAAGTGTGATTTTCAAAGCAGCAAATGACACAAGCTGGAGGAGGCTCATGTGCAGCTGAGACTCGGGGTATTCAAAGTCCTATGTGGGTTGAAAGGAAATAAGGAAAGAAGGGGGAAAGGGGAGGATGAGGCTGAGGGTCCATCACCATATCCTGTGATGAAGCAAAGGAGAAGCAAATGGGGGCCTATGGCAGGAAATGCCTGGCCTGGGAAGCTAGAGGACCTGCATTCTAGTCCTGAGCAGCTACTTGCTGGAAGAACAGGCCTGGACAGACATGGAGCCACATTATGCTCAGCCAACCTCCCTGTGGGTAAAAGCCAGGCTTGACCCATTACTGCCATGTCTCCAGGGTTCTCTTGGATCCAGTGATTCAGAGGAAGGCTAGTCCAGAGAGCACTTGTGGTGGACACCAGCCCTCACTCAGGCACCTGGGACATTGGAACAGCCATTGGAGAATCCACAACTGGAAGGTCCTCAGAGGGCAGACAGTAGATCAGATAAAGGAGGAACTTTTCTAACAAGTAGAGCTGCCAAGCAAGGGAACAGGTTCTCTGGAAGTAGAACTGTCAAGCAACTGCAGAGAGGCAGCATACAATTCGACAGGTTTTTAGAAGCGATTTCTGATCAAGTGGGATTTTGGGATGAAATTATCTGACATTATTCCAACTTCAACATTCAATAGCATTATATTATTATGCATGAAAAATTAGGTATCCACAAAGCTGTTATACACACAATTAGGTATCCATGAAGCTGTTTATCATAGGTACACTTTGTGATGCACTGTGTACCAAGAATATACAATAACATTTTTGTAAGTCTAACCTTCAGATCCTGGTTGGCAGAATATTTTTTACATGGTAGTGTAGTGATTTCTTTTTTTGTAAGTTCCTCAATACACTTACCTGTTAATTATCCTTCTGTGGACAATCTTTAAAATTATAATTCGCTCTGCACAGTCTTTTAGAAACTCTGACATTCGCTGTTTTAAAACTGGTTTCATTTCATGTTTTGCAATTGCCTTGAGGTGATCCCATGAAGCTTTGCATCTTCTCTCCATCTGACATAAATTATCCTGAAGTTGATCAAAGTCAACCTGAAAATCAGAGCGAGAACACTGCAAATGCCCTGAACAACCGGACACCAACCCCAACCAGGAGACCACGGTGCCTCCGGGAAGAAACAAGACATCAAAACCCAATTTACATCTTGAAACACAAACATATTTATGACCTAAAAATTATTCACATGTGTATTTGTCATTATCTCAAAATCAAATTAGCGATAAAAACTGTTCTCCAAATGAACCCAACACAGGAGTTACCTTTTGCTTGCCTAATTTGGAAAGAAATGTTACAAAAGTCTTTGGGAACTGTAAGTTAAAACATGAGATCAAAGAACCTAGTACAAGATGAACTGAGTAGATGTCTCATAAAATTTCAGAGCACACTCGTTTTTTCAGGATGATATTTCACTGAAGGCTGAGGAATGTACCCTACCCGGGTCTCATGTGGATGGCGCTGCAGTTCTGGGGCCAGCTCGTGGGCAGCCAGCTTCTCTTTGCCATGATCTCCTTCATAGTTTGTGTTACAAATTATTTTACTCATCCACCATTCAGACATTAACCAACATTCATGGGGCAACAGGTACACAGTGGCCCCCCCAACCAGGCACTAAGACGACAAAGACAAATGCTAAATGAAAACAAATCAATGTTCTCAAGGAGCCTCACGGTATAGACAAGTGATCACCAAGCGCTGAAGGGGTACAGCACCCACCAGAGATGTCAACAGCAAATGCAAACCACCTACACAGAGAGGAGATGTGGCAGAGCTTCTGCTGTGTACTTAGGGAAGTGCCAACAGTTTGCATTGACTGAAGAGGCCCAAAATGAGACTTTCTAAAGTAATGCTTTTACAGAATCTCTAGAGCAAAAATTATGAGAATCAGAAGGTTATTTAGTAATGAAAAAAACACACTTGAAGGGCAGGAGTCGTGGCTCAGTGGTATAGTGCTCGCCTAGCGCATGCGAGGCCCTGGGTTCCATCCTCAGCACCATATAAAAATTAAGGTGTTGTGTCCAACTACAACTAAAAAATAAATATAAAAAAACACACTTGAGGGCTACATTTAATAGAGGGAGATATGAGATGGAAAAATGAGGGGCCAGACATGGTGGCACATGCCTGTAATTCTAGCAACTGGGAAGGCTGACACAGGAGGATTCCAAGTTCGAGGCCAGCCATAGCAACTTAGTGAGGCCCTAAGCAATTTCGCAAGACCCTGTCTCAAAAAAAAAAAAAAAAAAAAAAAGGGGGAGGTGTGTGGCTGGGGATGTGGCTCAGGGGTTGAGTGCCCCTGGGTACCCAAGGTTGGGGGGAGTAATTCAGAGGGATGGAGGGGACGAAGAAAGAAATGGGTGGGCTGAAAGAAGGGGAGTGAGGTGAACAGTGAGAAATGTGGTCTAAAAATCCAGGAGAAAATGACACACAGAGCAAGCAGCCTCTGCTCAGGTGCCAATGACAGTGGTTGTACAAGCAGGTCCTGGAGAAGGATGCCCAGCAGGGACTCGCTCATGTGATCTCAGAGTAAAAAGCCTCACCCTCAGAAGGACATGGGAGGGGCTAGAGACAACCAAGGCAGATTCTGTGAGAAGATCTTGTCCACCAGCAGGAGGAAGACCCCGAGTCGCCCCCCCTCCCAGGCAGGACTTTGTGTGGTCTGAATTTCTTGATTCTCTATAGCCAAAAAGGCTCTGGGAATGAAGTCTGAGAAGAGGTGGCTGATGCCCTCTTGGCCTCCTATGGCAATTCACAAGCATGTGGATCAAGAGTCATTTAGTGGTTGCTGAAGTCAGGGGGTAGAAGTTATTTGAAGTTCTGGCTTTGTGGCCAATCTTAAGGCTAGTTATGCAGCTATTAGTCAGCTGACAACTAAACATCCAATAGGCTTCTGGGAAAGGCCTGATACTGAAGGGGCCCAGGACAGTCACAGGGGTTGTTCTAGTATTGGGACTCCTAGGCCAGGGCCACTTTTGTTCCAAGCAAATTCTAGCTGGGGAAGGTCCTGGGCAAAACCAGAGGGCACGAAAAGAGGGAAACAATTTGCTCTGGTGTCTCTGGAACTGGGACCCAGATGGAGGGGATCTAGACAGACAGACTGCCTCAAATTCTTAATAAACCTGTCCTCTGAGAAGGTGCTTACAGGGTGTTGGAGCAGCCACTGGAGGACCCTCTGCTTAGACTCTTAGAGGGGTTTTCTTCCTTAGTCAGGAAATTGAGGTCATAATTGCAAAGATGGCAGAACAGTGCCTGATAAAGAGGGGACTCTATTCTGTGAAGCCCTCTGTCAGCTCTCCATGCCTCTTTTTGCCTCAAGGTAGGTACACCATAAGGCCAGCTGAAGGGCCCCCGATTGGTGTACCTGTGGCTACAAGCCTGTGACTCCTGAGAGGTGAAGGAGGGCCCCCAGCCACCAGGTCCCCACCAGTCAGTCCTGTGGGAGAATGCAGAGTGTGAGCAAGTTCTTGGAACAGGACCGTCGCAGCTCTCCCTCTGTTCCTCGCCCACTCAGTCCTCTGCTCTGTCCCCTCTTCCCACCCTGGGCTCTGGTGTGTCCCAGCACTTGTAGCTGCTGTGTTCCCAGGAGGTGCCTGCACACAGGCCTGGCTCCTGCGCCCTCTTCAAGGGTGCTCCTACATTCTCCTTGTTCCCAATTCTCGTGTGTCTGAGATTCCTCTGGGCATTGTTCAATCTCAGTGATACTCCTCCACTGGAGGCAGCTGGGGTCCACATATTGTGACTGTCTCTTTTCTAATAAACCATATGCTCATGAAGAGATGAACTCTGCACTCACTTTAAGAGCTTGCAGCCGAGGGGCCAATGCTATATACTGTTTACAGCCCTATAAAAACGTTCCCTGTAAGACTGTAGGGACAGCCAATCTGTGGGCAGCAGAGCCAGGCCAGGCATGCCCTGCAGCTCCACACCTCACAGTGACATTGTATGGACATCTCAAGAGCCAGATGGCATTCTTTTGACCTGTTGGCCCACCTAAAACAGGCTGTGCAGTTGGAATGTTCTGGAGAATCCAGCCTGGTGAGTAACACTCCCAAGGAGTGAAGACGGGAATGGCAGACTAGCCTCACATACCTCAGTAGGAAAGAATCTGAGAACCAAAGATAGGAAAAAGATCTTAAAAGTTCATTAGAAAAAGGCAGGAAATGAATCCTATCCACGGACTCTAGAGCAGGGAATGCAGGCGGCGCTGTGGGTCAACTTATTAGAGCATGTGTATGTCTAAGAAGAGGGTTTGAGAATCCAACAAGCGGAGGCCAAGGCGAGGCCAGCTCCTCCGTGTTCACTGACGTACCTTGGCTGACCTGGTGATGGCCCCAATCTCTGAATACAGATCGGAGCTGTCTGGGAAGTTTTCCACCACCATGGTGCACACGTGGTGGAGAAGCGACTGCTTGTGCACTGTGTCTTTTACTTCTGGAACCTTCTCGAGGTAGCTTAACTCAAACGCTTTGGCCTGTATTGTGACATTAAAGATGAGAAAAACAAGTTTTATATAGGCTCTTAGAATAGCACAGATGGTTAGAATCAATGCACAGCTGCGGTAGCCAATATTTAGTTTCTGTGTGACTGAGGCTTCTCAGGCCACGCACTCCATCCTTTGCTGATCACACGCGGACAGACACATCGGGAATGACCTGGACCTCCAGCCCTTTGCTACCACAGCCCAGAGACAGGTCCCCAGGACTCGGCTCTCAATCAGGGTGCTATGGGACTTGGCCTCAGACACCTGCATAAGTATAGCTTCTTTCTCCCCTCCAGCTGCATGCCTACTTCCTGGCCAGAGCCAAATGCAATCTACCAAATTATGCCATGTCCACATACCAATATGCCACAGTGACGTCTACACATGTGATCAGTTGAGTAGAGCAAGTGGATTGGAGAAGGGAGGAGTGGGGAGGGGAGAAGGGAAAGAGAAGTTACTGGGAAATGAGTTTAGTCAAATTATGTTAATGTGCATGTATAAATATGGCAATAACTCCCCAGCATAATGTGCAATTATAATGCACCAATTAAAAAATAAAAAATGACAAGTTAATCATAAAAATCAGAATAGTTGAGAGCAAAGATCAAGAGAAAAAAAACAGTACATGAAAATTTTCCAAGACAATTTTGAGAGTAGCCACACTCTGTAAGGAATAGTGAGCTTACTTTTTTAAGCTTTCTTGTGGCAGGGTTCAAGTTCAAGTAAATGGTCTCTAATATTTTGAAGACAAAAACCACTTCTAGATTTCATCAAAAAAGTTACACAAGTTGGGCTGGGGATGTGGCTCAAGCGGTAATGCGCATGCCTGGCATGCACGGGGTGCTGGGCTTGATTCTCTGCACCACATAAAAAAATAAAGATGTGTCCACCAAAAACTAAAAAATAAATATTAAAAATTATCTCAAAAAAAAAGTTACACAAGTTGTTTATTCTACTGTGCTTTAGGGGACCAGAGGTACGACCTTTATCAACAAATTGTGGGCAGGGATTTTGTAACAAGGGAGGCAGGAGGATAAGGCTCAGGGACAACTTACATTAGTTCCATTTAGAAAGTTCCCAATAGCGAGGAGAGTAGACAGGATAAAGCCCAAGGTTTTATTGTTCTCCAACTGGTCTATTCCTTCCTTCAGGTCCAAAAGTGGTTCTGCCACTTCCTTTCAGTTTAAAAAAAAAAAACAGAAAATGAAAAAGGATGGACAATTTGGCTACTTTTTTTCATTTGATGTAAGGAACAATAAGCAGGGTTCTCTCTAGCACGGGGCAGTCTCTCTCGTGGGACATTTGCTCCTAGGTATGACAAAGTGCTGAACAGCAGCAGGGAGAACCTATTCCCCATCAATTCCACAGTGGAGACCAAATGGAATTCATGCTGGGTCACACATGCTGTGTCTTCCCTGTCTCTAGCCAAGGTTTAAACCCAAGCAGGACCCTTAGATCATCCCATCCTCTCACTCTCCTCTGACCACGGCCGATTCCCAAGGAATCTTCTTTGTGAGGCTTCAGCCTTGAAAGCATAGTCCTGCTCTTTGCCTTTCCTCCTTGTAAGCAGATGACTGTAGAAACTGTGGCCCCACTGTTCCTGGACCACCTGTCTCCTCCATTCCCCTCTAGGCATACTTAGCCTTGGTTGCTCACTATTGGATTTCATAATTTTTTGGACTTTGGAGTATCTGCATATATACAATGATATATATTAGGGATAAGATTCCATGTTTAAATATGAAATTCTTTTATGTTTCATATATACCTCTCACATATAGCCTGAAGGTAATTTATAGACTATTCTTAGTGCACCTGTGTTTGGACTGTAACCCATCACATGGGATCAGGTGTGGAATTTTCCATTTGCATCATTGCGTTGGCACTCAAAGGGCTTACAGTTTTGGAGCATTTGGATTTCTGATTAGAAATACTCAACCTGTAGCAGCCTTCTGAAGTAGCCTAGACTCACTGCCATCCATCTGGCCCTCAGCATAAGACTATGCCACCTCCTCTTCAAGAAGAGAAAGACCCAGAGCCTCTGCACCTGGGCTTCAGACTCCTCCTCCTCTAGATGGTTTTTCTCAGCTAAGCTCCCCTGTAATTGACGTCCATCTCTCTCTCTCCCCCCACCCCCTACACTGGCTGCCATTTAGCCTGCAAAAATATTCCTACTGACATAGGCCGGGGGAGATTCCTGTGATTTCCATGCCCCACCCAAGAGGAGTCTCCCTTTGCTTCCCCCGTTGAGGTCTCTTTACTTGTAGCCTCTTCTCAACTTCTTGTCATCTGCTTAATCTGTAACCTTCATCTGAGAATATTCCCCCCAAGAGACCTGCTGTCATGGTCAATGGCAGTCTGGGTGACAATGATCAGGTGACAGATGATGGGAAATATACTATATTTTTCTGTGTTTTCTAAGTTTTCTACAATGAAGATACAGAATCTAAAAAATATTTTATTTTTAATCACTCACCACAAACTCATGAGCAAGTGTCTGAGGCTGGTGCCAGGCAGATACTTTAGAATAACCCTTCATGATCAGTCAGCATGGACACAAGTAACAGAGTTAGTGATAATACAACAATGTCATCATCGACTCACCCTGAAAATCCTGTGTCAAGAATGAGATTTCGCTACCTTAATATTCATGACTAAAAAAACATGGGCCATCCTATGTGGTTTTGGTTGCCTCTCTAATTGGAATGCTTACCTTTTCTGTGGTTTCATAATCCATTTTGAACGCCCAGAGGTGGAGCCGGGCAGAAAGCTCACTGATGGAGGACAGCGTGAGGAGGAACTGCTCCGCACTGCCCAAGGGCATTTCAGGATTGGCCAGCTGAGCTTCCTGGATTTTCTGCTTTTCCTCTTCAGTTGGAATCATGGTTAGAATTTTCTGGAAAAAAAAATGGGATGATAGAAAATATTCTCAGTAATGGATCCTACCACACCCCTTTGATGTTTTCAAATTCAATTTTATAATTTTACAACCAGGTAAAAGAAAGAGGTAGTAGAAAGAGTCTGGTATATGTGTTTCAATCACATATGGGTCATAACCAAACATACTCTAAACAAATTGCCCCAAATTTTCTGGATCTTGCACAAGGAAGACATTCTAGGAATAAAAAGGGCGATGAAAGTAAAAGAAAAGAAAATTGGAGAACTCAGTCTTCCCTAGGAAATATACGCAAGACAGGTCAATAATACATGCTCTATCACTTCTCATGGATTAACTTAAGAACTAAAAAAATGAATCAAAGAACTCAGATTGACTTTTGGTTCATGTGACATTAATTTTTTTTAACTATTTAAAAACTTAGAATTGATAATACTTCAATATCAAACTCAAATCTGAAGAAAAATGAAAATGGTATTTATAAACCTATCTACTAATAAAAAACAATATACCTGCTTATTTTTATTTGTTTCTGGAAAAAAATTCAGTTAAGAAAGGTGAAGACAAAAAGACACCAGAATGATTATGATTCTTCTTAGTTCAAATTTCATATTGATTATATCTTTTAAAAAAATAAAAATTTCCATCTACTACTCTTACCATTACTATTTAATATTGTACACACATAGATAATCACAGTGTCATAAAGGTAAAGTCGTTTCTATTTGCAGATGACATGATTGATTATATAGAAAATTGTAAGGATCTAAAAGTACAATGTTATAGCATAATCTTTTAGAAAAAGGAAAAATGGAGAATATTTGTGACCCATGTGAGGGAAAAATTCTTAGACATGATACCAAAAATGAACAGACTGATGAACTGAACTTCATTCATCCAAATTACAAATTTTTGCTGTCAAAGATACTATTAATAGAGTGGGAAAAAACTGTAGTTTACCAAGAAGCTAAACACAGAGGTTACTTTATAACCCTGCAATTCCATTCCTGGGTATTTGCTCTAGAAAAAAAATGAAGACTTAAGTTCACACAAAAACTTGTATGTGAACATTTGTATTAACTTTATTCATAACTGACACAACCCAGTTAGATATTTTTCAATGAATGAACAAATTATGGTACATCCCTACAATAGAATAGTACTGGACCATAAAAGGAATAAACTATAGCCAGGAACAGCGGCACACTCCTAAAATCCCAACTACTCAGAAGGGGAGGCACGAGGATCACAAATTCAAGGGCAGCCTCAGCAACTTAGCCAGACCCTGTCCTAGACAGACACACACATACATATATACATATATACAGTTGGGGATGTAGTTCATTGGTCAGTACCCCTGGGTTCAATTTGGGGATGGAGGGGCTACGTACATAAAATGATGTGGATGACTCTCAAAGACATTATGCTCAGTGAGAGAAGCCAAACTCAAAGGTTATACACTATATGATTCCATTTACTTGACATTTTCCAAAAGACAAAACCACAGTGATGTATTTGCACCGCTGGTTCCCAGGGGCTAGAGTTGGGAGTAAATGTACAATCAGAAAAGAGCTGTATGGGGAGTTGGGATTGTTTTAAATCCTGCTTGCAGTGTCACTACATGAATTTACACATGATTTAAAACTCCTAGAACTGTCCATCCAAAAAAAAAAAAAAAAGATCAATTTTATCCCCCCAAAATGAAAAACTTAGTAACATAGTAACAAAATAAAATGGAACCAGTCCCCAAATACATGGGTGTTTATATTATTGTGCCTCAGGATTTATCTGGGTACGATAGAAGCAGTTGGAGTTTGATGAGACCGTTTTAAGGCTGGGTGTTCCTATCAAAAGCTAGTGATGTAAAACTACTTTGAAGACGTGTACTCTGAGCCACAAAGTGAGGCTACAGAAGGTGACAAGTGGTGGGGCCTCGGACATGTCTCTTCCAACTTGCTCTTCATATGACTCCAAATACTGAGGCTATGTGGGTGGAATTTGAGCATCAGGAGAACTACTTAGTTACAGGGCTTCTTGCTCGCTCACTGCCTGGCTCATGCCCCACCATCCACACAGATGGCATTAAAAAATAAGCAATTCCAGTAGATATCGCCTCTTAATCCATGATTTGAACCAAATTAGTTTTCAGAATAAAAACTAAAGATTGTATTTTAATTTCCTTAATGCTTAAATTGTTTCAGGCATGACAAACATTCCAAAACAAAAAAACTGCCAACACCTTTCATAACCTTCAGAAGGCCTTTTCCTGCAACAATTTGGTTGCTTTGTTCCTTTGAGAAAGTCAAACATTTTTACTTTTGTTTTTCACTCCTCTAATTCAAACCGTTTGTTCACTGTTGAAGACTTATGAGGTTGCCATCTGTCACTTTGCTTTGCTTTATTTTGTTACACATCACTGACAATAAGAGTAGCCATAAGACAGTGGAACTGGCAAGTCAAAGCCACCCCCTGTGAGCCCAATGGCCCTTTTTCCATTAGCAAAGGTTAACAAGAAAAGGTTAACATTTTTACTTGCTTTTCTACCACATCAATGGGTTTATTGATGATTTTACAATTACCATTTGGTATTGCAGGTAAACAAACACCAAACAAAACCCAAACCTGAATGTGGTAACAGTATTTTCAGCTATGTTCCTGACAATATCCCTTTAATGCTTCTCAAAATATACTTGCTTTTGTATCTGAAAGTCATATTTCAGAGAAAGCAGTGCAAAAATGTCCATTTTTATGAACCCACATAGTACTGGGTTTGACCATTTAATTCTCCTGGAGTAAGACCATAATGAGTCATTATTTTGCTTTGTGATTGTGAACAGAACCTTGGCTAGAACTTTGGGTAAGAATCTGCAATAAGGATTTGGGTGATAACAGCAGAAAATTTTGGGCTGAGCTTGGTTTATATACAACTTTCATGTTGTCATGAGAAAATGTTCTTTCCATGTACTTATTTTCATGTAGCAACTTAGGGGGGGGGGAAACCTTCTTAAAGCATCTTGATAGTATCACCATCCATTCTTTTTAAAATTGGTACATTACAATCATACATATCAGTGGAATTTGTTATAGAACATTCATACATGCATATAATTCAATCAATCTCATTATCTAGTTCCTTCCCTTTCTCTCCCCTCCTCTTCCTCCCTCCCCCGGGTCTCCTTGTTCTAATTGGTCTCCCTGTTGTTATTTTTAAAATTAGCATTTTAATTGTATACAGAAGCAGGATTCTTTGTGGTGATTACGTTTTGAGGCACATTGGGCAGAAATTATTTCATCAAATTTACAGTTGCAATGACTCGCCTGAGACCAGGTTGGACCAACCAAGACAGAGCTAAAAACCCACCTAAGGGCTGTGTGTCCTTTCGTAGTACCAGCTCCATAGTTCATGGAGATTATAAGTGCAAAATTAACAGCACAGCTGTGTCCAATGCTCAGAGCATCCTGGTTCCCTGGTCCCACTAAGCCAACAATAACTCTCCACGGGCAGACTCAATTGTGTATGTCCATTACCCAGTTGGCCACCTGGAGACAGGCCTCATATAACACCAACTATTTAGAGAGATGCTGAAGCTTTGCCTAAATGGCTGAAGGAATGTGTCTGTTCCCAGGATATTGTCAGGCCTCACAACCAAACTGAGCCAAGTCAAACTTCATTTGGGACCATTCAAATGTGCTGCCCTCTAAGTAGACCAACTCTAAAAATTAAAAAAAAAAAGGAAAAAAAAAAAAAGGAGGACTCCTCATACTTCCATTTGTGATAATTTGATGACATCTTACTTTGGAAAATATCATTATGCTACTTAGAGATGGCCCTAAAATAATTTTCTCAAATTTAATATTCTTCATAAATACTACTTCCTTAATGAAGTTAACTGCTCCCTTAGGTTTGCATCATAAACCCAGACATATACCACTGGTTGCTAAGCAAAGCCACAGGATGTCATTTAATACATCCTAATTACATTTAGGTATACAGAACTTTCAAATGGCCCTATTAAGCCATGGTGCCAGGCCACGGTACATGTGTTCAAGAAGCAGACGGTTTGGCGAAAGGCCGTTTGGGCATTAGCTGGAAATCTTATTAGCAAAGATCTGTAAGTTCACAGCTGCCATCTCAGTTTCAATTTAATTCTTGAGTAACAAACCTACTGAATTAGCTCTGGGTACTGCCCAGCACATGGATCTAGATCTTTCTTGTATGCCTTCCTGGTCCCTTGAGATCAATGGCCAGAGATAGTAGATGATGTCAGAGGGCCTGGATTCTACACTTTCAAGAGTACTTTTTTCCATTGTCTTCCCAGCCATGCTGGGAATTGCTGAGGGATATACACAGTCCCTGGATTCACACAGGAAGCCTTTAGATCAGTGATTCTCAGCCTGGGCGATTCTTCTCCCAGGAAACGTTTAACAATGTCTGGAGTCATTTGGGGCTGTGGGTCAAGGTTCAGGTAGGCAGATACTACTGGAATGTAGCAAGTAGAGACCAGAGACGATGCTGAACATCCTTCAAGGCTCAGGACAACCCCACAACAAAGACCGTCCAAATCCAAATGGCAATAGTGTTGAGTGTGCGAAAACTTGCTTCAGAGGAAAACTGATCAAAATGTTGTAACTCTGAGTGCTACTGTGACTCAATGAGTTTACTGAGGACTCAGGACACAATAAAACCTCCGTGAGGATTTACTGGTATTTTTTGCAGCCGTTTTCTCTCACTTCAAACTATCTGCCCACCAGCTCTTCCTGGGTGGAAGGCCACTGGCAGTGCTGTGAGGGGCTCTAGGCTGGCTCCTGTGTGCTTCTCACCCACTTTCAGATTCCCTCCCATTCTGTGGGTCACATAGCCCAGGCCTGAGAGGGACTCCTGGGCCATATGCTCCCAAGGCCTGCACCCTGCACTCAGGCTTCAGGGCTCATGTTCTGCACAATCTCCTGTTTGTGAGTTTGGCACCGACTGATGCTGGGACTCAGTTCATTTTTAAGGTGAAGCACAGCGGCGTGTACCTATAGGTGCTGTAAAACACCTACAGGGTGCCCAGTCCACAGTAAGAAACCCATGAAAGCCAGATTAGTGCTGTGTTTATTCCTATAGCCGTCAGCATCGTTATTACTGTTATTACTCTTATATTCCTTTATGGATCAAAAGGGTGCTCAACTTACAATCCCTCAGACAGGGAAAAAGAGTAATTGGTTCATTCTAAAATCTGAGTAATTGATTATCTGAAACTTTCCCGGCCCAGGGAGAGCTGTATTTCAGGAAAAAAAAAACAAAGGCAAAACTCAAAGAAACCACTCCTTTCTGATGGAATTTCAAGTTCTCCTGATGAGGAGGGGAAGGATCTTTAAAAGGAGAAGTTTTTTTTTTTCCTTTCATTGGGCTGGCTCTGGCTGTATGTGAAACCTCTCCATGTATGAACTGAAGCATTTGCAAGCTCTAAAGGACCTTGTAAAGTAAACAAGATGATCTGAGAGCGCCTATAACTTGCTTCTCTCCTCAACGAAAACCACTTCACACTTGGTTCATCCAAGTTTACAGAATGGTAGGCCACAGCCTTCTTCCTTACCAGTCTGGAGGACCCCAGAGTGAGGATGCCTCACAGAGGCTGAGCCGGACCCTTCTTGCTTGCTGCCTGAACATCTCGGTCTCTGCCTGCTGTATCTAACTCATTCCTTTACCCCCTACCCTGCTCTGTCATGTGCCCACCTGGATATTCTGCCTGACTTCAGGGCTTAGGGCACAACTTCCTGTCCAGCCAGGAAGGAAATGCATTTTCCCTCTTGTACCTGTTCCAGCTGCTTGAGCCTCGTCTGCATTCCTAGGGCTTCCATAACAGTGTACCACAAACTAGGTGGCTTGACACAACCAAATTTATTCTCACAGTGCTAGAAGACCAGAATCAAGGACTAAGCAGTACTATGCTCTCTCTGAAGCACAGCTGCTTCTGGCCTCTTGTGCAGTTCTGTTGTTTGCCTGAGGTCCTTGGTATTCCTTGGCCTATGAACACACTGCTCTAATTTCTACCCCCATCATCACATGTGCATTCTCTCTTCAGATGGTATTCTTCTCTGTGTCTATGTCCCAACAACATCCCTTTTCTTATAAGGACACCAGTCATCTGATTTAGGGCACATCCTAATCCAGTCTGATCTCACCTTAACTTGGTTATATCCCTGAGACCCATTTCCAAGGAAGGCCAGTCGCGTCCTCCAAAACTCAATGCTCTCTCCTGGGAGAGCATGAATTCTGGAGGACACAACTGGACCCCACATAGGCCTCTTGGCAAGTTTTCTCCTGAAAACCTCTACTTTTCAAAGCACAAAGGCACACATGGCCCCCCAGGGTCCAGACTGTGTGCCCATCGCTGCCTCTCAACCCAGGCCTGTGGGCAAGTCTGGCACTGGGGCCCAACCCTCCCTCACATTTTCGGCAAAGGCCGACTCTCCCTCTTTGGGGTCAGATTTCACTGGTTCCCTCCATGCTCAAATGAGTGTGCATGAATGAACCCAATCATGGAGAGGCTTTAAAGGAGTCCAGAGCTCCTGGTCAATGGGAAGATGGGTTGGGTGTCACTCAATGTCACAAAGTAATGTTCCTAGAACCTCCCACTTTTGATGAAGTGGCTCCTATGACTACAACACCCCTTTAGGGGACTCTGGGCTGGCCATTAGCTCCACCTGTCCTTTCTTTATTAGGGTAAGAGATTTCACTTGCTACAAACTGGCACCGTGGTGAAGATGATGGCCTGGTGGAAGAACATGAACATTGGCACAGCAAGTGAACCATGGCTTCAGCTGGGCCACCTACCAGCCACAGACATGTCACCTAATCTCCCTCCATTTTTGACATTCAGATCAACAAGGGCTACAGCCTCAACTGGTTTAGTTCTTCCAGTTATTTAACAAGACATCTCTCTGCATATCCCAACAAGCACCAAGACAGGAAAAGTCCTTTACACAGATGGGATCACCTATTGAAAACCTTATCTTTGAAATTTGCTAAACATATTTGGTGTAAAATGACATGAAAGAACCCCTAGCAGCCTTCTAAGGAGGTTCTGACAGTCTATTTCCATTTTGAGACAGTCAGATTTTGTGTGATCAGAGGGAGGTCCGTATGAGAACTGCAGAAGGAGGGTCTTTTGAACTTCATAGGCAAATGAGGCTTGCCTCTCTGTGGAGTAAATATGTAAAAAATTATTATTCACAATCTTCTTGAGGACAGAAAAAACGGCAAGCCAGCCTATGAGGAAAGTCACTTTGGATGAAATAATAAGTACATTTTATGCATGTGATAAATTTCAGAACAGAAAGTTTGACAGCTTCTCTTACCTCAATTCCTTCTTTGTTTAAGGCATATTCATCAAAATTCAAAATGGCTATCTTAATCGTTCTCGGAGGGGGCAGGACCGTAAGACCAATATTGATGGCATTGCTCCTCTTGGAATCTAGAACGATGATCTCCTGCCTTTTTCCATCTGCAGCAGTTTTCTTGGTGATAAAACAAGGAAAATCCAAGATTAAAGCATCACCATGGGTCCTTTCTGTGTTTCAGTTTTAAAAGAAAACTCACCACCTACTCAGAAATGAAAACCAATGGCCCAAATTGCAGCTCAGGCGAGGACTGGCTACTGCTCAGTCCAGAAGAGAGATCAAGGATTGGGCTCTGAGACACCGCCAAACTTGGGTCAGCAACGGAACTTTGTGAGTCAGACACATTACAAAATAGATTTTCCTTCAATTGGGAAAAAATGTGATATTTTGCAAGGAAAAAAAAACTTTTTTTTTTTTTCAACTGTGAGACAGCTATAACCTGTGGGTTTTTTTTTTTTTTTTTCATAGAAGCAGTGAAAACAATAGTAAAATCTAATCTTTCAGAGTCCCTTTCCTGTGGGCTGTAAGATGTCAACTTGTGTCTTGGTTGGCGTGTGCATGGAGAAGTGAGTGCACAGGTTGAGAGGACAGGACCCCCCCTCCCCAGATCTCTAGCTGCATTGCCTCAGGGTCCGTCTGCCCATTTCAAATGTCCCGTGTCCTTTCTATCAGGTCACCTGTGCCTTTCTTGCCACACTTAGTCATTTGTGCAGCTGCCCACTGGGTGGATGAAGAGGGCCCACTACAGGCGAGCCACGTGCTGAAGAAGAAGAAAGAGGTACAGGCAGGCTCAGGCTGGGGAAGAGAACAGGGAACTAGAAGTATCCTGACATCCTCATACAACCCTATGCGTGGTGTCCCTGCTGTCCTGGGTCCCCCTTGGAGGCAGGCCCTAGGCCCCTCTCATCCCTGCAGGCAGCCCAGGGCTAGCATACAGACTGAATGTCTGCATGCTGCCTCACCTAAAATTCATCTTGAAGCCCTAACTCCCCATGTGAGGGTACTTGGAAGTGGGGCCTTTGGAAGTAATTAGGTTTAGGTGAAGTCACAAGGGTGGGGTCTACCTGATAGGATTAGTATCCTCATAAGAAATTAAAAAACAAAAAACCAGGTAGCTCTCTCTTTATACCAAATGGCAAGAAGGTAGCCATCTGAAAGCCGGGAAGAGAACCTTCAGCAGGAACCAGCTTGGCCAGCACCTCGATTTTGGACTTGCCAGTGTCCAGAACGATAAGCAATAAATGCTTGTTTAAGCCCCAAAGTCTGTGGCATTTTATTATGGTAGCCCTATCAAATGAAGGTGTGCGAGGTGCTGAGCCAACATGTATCATGACCCAGAGCTGTGACCACAAACCATAGCGCTCCCTCCACCCCCAAAACTTTCCCCTGCAGTTCTAAGGAACTGTAGGTGACAAGGGAGTTGTTAAGTGGAAGGAGACCTGGCCCAGCACATCTGCTCTTGCCCATGTGTCCTTTGAGGCGCACACAGCTGGGAGGATGAGCATTCTGATGCATGCCTAGGGTAATGGGAAATGAGTACGCAGGTTCCCCTGAAGGAAGACACACAGCACAGTAAAGAAATGTGTTCACTGCAAGAGGGCTCCACTGTGAGGCAGCTATAACTCACTTGGTGGTGGAGTGAGTCACTGGAGCTCCGCCCTAAAGAACACCTGGGATCCATCTATCCTGGGTCCAAAGGATGAGGTAATGAGATGGGCAGTCTCTTTGCCTAGGTTGTTGGGACCTGCCAGGAATGAGGCTGGAGGTTGATGGGGCCATATCCCCAAAGACCTCAGGGGCCGGCCAAGGGACTCTGACTATACTCTACAGCCAGCCCTCGCTGGATGGCTCTCGGCGCTTCCTAACCACTCTCTCTCTCACCCTTTCCTTTGAAGGAGAAAATGTAGCCTGGGAGCAGCTGAGCCATCTGGAGAAGCTGGCCTGAGGCAACACTAGACATGGAAGTCACCAAGGAGAACCAGATTGAAGCCCCACTAAAGTTCTCCTGGGCCCTCCAAACTTAATTGCTCACATTCTATTTTAGATCCTTAAATATGCATTTGGGAATAAACTCAAATTTCTTCATGAAGAAAACAACTGAAGATGTCCCAGCTGTTTGGGGGCCTGGTGGCCAGGAGGGGCAATTCCTGCGGGTGTGGTCACTGGCTTTGAACAGGGGCTCCCAGAGACATGTGGCATAGATGCTTCCCCCTTCTGCAAGGCAGGCTTTGTCTTTTATATATTTAGCCAAATAAACCAAAAATTCTGAATTTAGTCTTGAAATATAATTTAAAATAGTATATTGTATGGGGAACACTAAGAAGGAATGAGAAAGGTTTTGCAAAATGCAGAATATGGGAAGTGAGGAGGACATGTTATAACCTGTGATAAAGCACTGGATTGCTGGGGTACCTGCCTCTCCAGGCTCTGCAGATCACTTATACTCAGCATCTGTTCTCTACTGCCTGATCACCACCAGGACTCTCATTTCTTCTTTATCTGGCAATACGTACATTAAAAAAAAAACAAAAAAGCAACCCTCTTTGCACCTCAATCTGGCCCTGTGACTTAGTTCTGTTTTTTTTTTTTTTTTTAATTTCCTAATTGAAAATGGACAGATCCAACAAGCTAGGCCTTTAGCCTTTCCCTTCTTTCTGCTTAGAACGTCTTGTGAGCATATGGAACAAAGTAATGGTCATACAGCAAGGATAATCTGGGAACTGTCAGTCCTCAGCCTCTCATCCATATTGTCCTTGTCACTCAAGGATCCTGGAGAGATGACTGTGCAAGCCCAGCTAGGCCAGCTGGAGCCTCTGTACAAATGAGGAAAGGATGCTTCCCTCTGGGGAGACACAGCCCCACCATGAACAGCTGCCCACAGTTTGAAAAAGCACCACCACTCAGGTTTCAGCTTCTTTCCTGATAGCTGATGCCCATTTATGTCAAACACAAAATCTCCATAGTGGCTCTGAAGCTGACATGACCTTGTTCCAATCTCAGTAGGACTCAGTTTACACAGATGGACATGTCCACACACTCCACTATTAACTACTGAACAAGCTGAGACAACAAGGAGAGCTATCCCCACAGAGCACATCTACCAGGCATGAAGGAAAGGTAAGAAGGAACACCTGGAATTGAATTATTCAATTTCTGGATTTTAGCAAGAAGTGTTTTAAATGCACTTCTTGATAATTAAAGTAAAGCTCTACTTGGTGCTGCTGAACACCAAGTGTGTCTTCTGGTCAATTCTGCCCAAGATAAGGGGGCAGGTCAGATGGGACCGTCTGTTCATCTCCTTCCCTCCCATAAGAACCAGAGTCACATCTGCAAGAGCAAGCCAAAGCTCTCTAAGCTTTGGAGCCCATGACCATGTCCAAGGATGATCAGTCATCAGTTCTGATTCATTTTGATTGTCCTTTTGGATCAAGCCCCAGATCTACAATCATGAGCTTCACTATATCTTCCACATGGTCTCACAACAGTGGAAGTACTGCCCACTCTTTTTCCACAAAACCTGCCATGCCCATTCCTCCTCCTCCATACCTGCCACCTCCACCTGAGCCTGACTCCCAGCATTCAGTTTCACACCAGTCCCTCATGCCCACTTCCAGAATCTTCTCCCCCACCCTCCATCCTACATTTACCAAGTCTTTCTCAGATATCTTTTTCCTTATTGTATTTCTTTGGTCAGAAAGTGGTGATTATCCATAGTTTACATACAATTGGAAAATTAGGAAATTGGTCAAAGAAAGAAAGGGGATATAAAGCAGGAGTCCGAGAAGGCAGAGTGGTCCTAGTGAAGACACACAAATACCCCTCTCTGAAGGCATCTAGGAGGTGGTGGTGAAATGTGATGAGGAAGAGGTAACGGGTTGGAACGAAGTGGCAAGGTTTCTAGGCAGAAAAGTCATTTTACGTTTGATAGATGATACACATCCCAAAATAAGACCCAGACAAGGAAACGAAACTCCAAACTTCTTGAAATATTATAGGGCAAAGTCTACAGCAAGAAAGTGATGAAATTTTCCTGAAAGTAATAAAAGACAAATAGGATAAATGAGAAACATCATGTTCCTAGATAGGATAGTCAATTTTGTAAGTATACTTAGGTCTCTCTAATATATTTTAAATAATTCTATTCAAATTCCAGAAGATTTGTTTTTGGAATTAGAAAAATTCTAAGTTTAATATTTTAAAAAGTCAAAAATATTCTTAAAAAGGAGAGTTACATGTAATATCTACTGCGCCATCAAAGCTTACTGCAAAACTGACCAAATGTGTAGCACAGACACTTGAATAGCTGGAATGATAGAAGAGAACAGAATGACAGGGTAGAAGAACTCATATAATGGCCCAGGGGATTTCAACAAAGACACTAAGATTAGTGACCCAGAATCTACCATGAGAGGGATTCCTAATATGGGACCAAAAAAGTCTTAACAGAATAATATAGCGAGTGAACACTAACAGAGTAGACCCACTGACATCTTTCTCTTCAGGTAGGCAAAAGGCCAGGGGAAAGCAGGAACACAGGCTGGTGTGGGAATGGCCAAGGGCCAGAATGGCTGGGGTGTACCATTCCTCAGGGCACCCTCTTGCTGCCTGGGGTACCTCTCCATCCCTACCAACTGCAACCTGAAGACATTTCAGACCATTCTTTCATGAAAAGTCAACCACCAAACCTCTGCCGCCTTCTTCAAGTTCCAAGAACAGGGAGAAAGGGACTTTGGAAGGAGGCACCAGTGGGGACAGCTGAATGCTCAAACAGGAACAATTATCTCCAGGGTGGATCAGCAAAAGGGTCCACGGAAGGCAGTGTGGGGGACACCACTAAGGGGCTATCTCTGAGCCTATTACTTTCCCAAATATGTCCAGAAGTACTCAAGGGAGAAGAGGAACTTGCTGCTTTAAGGAGGGAAGGGGTTTGCTGGGAAAAAGTCAGGCTCTGTTTTAGTGCCAGAAAAACCCAGTTAAGCTCAACTCCTGGAGCAGCGCTCCTCCCACAAAGCTGCAACCCACCAGGGAGCCTCCAGCATGCCCCGGTAGCCCCTTCTCCTCCAGAGCAGAACATTCTTGGGAGAAATGCTTGAGGCTTGGAGGCCATGTAGGGATTT